GGGTTGTAATTTGGCATGCAGATAGATGTTATGACGTAAGCATCCGATGTGAAAGGATTTTGATAATTTCCACCCCCAATGGGGGTAAAATAGGGGATGAACGTTTGTATGAGACTTTGTCAGTTTTAAACCGATCGGGTTGTAATTTGGCATGCAGATAGATGTTATGACGTAAGCATCCGATATGAAAGGATTTTGATAATTTCCACCCCCAATGGGGGTAAGTTTTTAGAATTTTTGTCTGTTTGTCTGTATGTATGGCCGTGATGATCTCAAAAAGTACTGCACTACTATTTCAAATTTTGCATGAATATTACTAACAAGTCTGGTAAACATATAGGCTACATATTATCACGCTAACATCTACGGGACTGAATCAATTCTGACGACATCCATTACCGTAGAATATCCCTTGATAAAAACTAATTCAAAAGCCTAAATTCTGCCAGAAGTCATTATTCTACGCGGACGAAGTCGCGGGCAACAGCTAGTTAAAACATATATTTTTTTTATATCACGACGGTAGCAGAAAAGCACACGGCCCACCTGATGGTAAGCGGTTACCGTGGCCTATGTACGCCTGCAACACTTGGGGCATTACATGCGTCTTGCCGACCCTTAAGAAACCTATTCACTGCCCTCTTGAAGAACCCCATGTTGTAGCCCACTGGGAAAACCACGGCAGGGAGTTCATTCGACAATCGGAGGGTCCGTGGGAGAAAATTCCTGTGTCGATGTCCGAAATCGAACTGTACGGGATCATTTGGGCTCCAATGTGTGAGCGTGAACTAATAATATAAATACTAATTTGATTTTGAATGACAACTTCAAGATAACGTATTTTTGAAATGTTTCTTTTAATAATGAAATAATCAAACTCTCTCCGTGTGATAAGAGGCCTATGGTCAGCATTGGCCACTTGTAGGCTACTAGCTTTTACCCGCCGCTTCGCTCGCGTCACAAAAGGATAAAAGTAGTCTGTGTGACATATACCAATACATACAGTGCCATCTATACCAATACTTTTGTTTTCCCTCGGGAATATCAAATTATTCCAGGATCAAAAGTACCATATTATTTAATCCAGACATTGTAAAAACTAATTTTGCCTCAAAAAACCGTCTAAAATGTGACTGCTGAATGTATTTGAGTTGTCGAACAGCTCAGGTGAACTTTTTAGGTGTTCATAGTGGAATTCGTAAATTATTTAACTACAAAGAATAAAAACAGTAAAACGTTATTTGCTTTATTATTTTTCATACTTTAAAACTGCCTGATATTAATTAACATTCAAAATTAACTAAAGTACACTCGAATTACAATTCTACCATCCTTAATTTAGCCTACATTTTTGCTTAGCAACAAAAAAAGATCCTCAGTTGATCCGTGGATACATCGATGTCTATTTTATCAAAACGTTACAAAAAAGTTTCGACATCAATTCCGTTTTTAAAAGAGAAAAGTTTAATTAAGTCATTTTACCCAGTTTCTGTGAAGAAAAAGAAAATCTCTTCAATTTAAGAATCAGGAGGAAAATCTTGGAATTAGTTGGAGAAACATGCAACCTGATACGGTTTTTTATCCGCTTTGGACGTAGATTGAGTGGCTGTATAGTAAATTAATAGTTAAAAATATTACTACCGAGTTGTCGTAAGTGCCACTACTGAGGAAGGGGTTTCGGGTTCGATTCCTGGATCAGGCAAAGTATTATTGTGTTTTTAAAAAAAATCCCAGTAATAGCACGGATTCTGGAATTGTGCCTGATATATGGCAATAGGTTCACCCCCTATTACATGGGACTCATAACATAAATAGTGGAAAGTGGGTGTTACATTGTTCAGTGGCATTAAGTGCCGTAATGTCCACCTCTGCCTACCCCTTCGAGGTGTGATGTTATGTATGTATGTATGTTTAATTAAAAATATTAAATAATGTTAAAATACAACTGCAGAAAAAGAGGTTTCTGGTTAAGAAAAGTATTATTGAGGCTTTTTAGTTTAAAATATTGTAACTAAGAATTTAGATTATTATGTATATATCAAACATAGGACCTTCAGGCTTCATAGATTGCGCGCGCGCCTCAAGGAGCCATCAGACCACCAAAGGTGGGGCCCAATAAGGCTGATGCCGATATGGAGTCGCGGAGAGCTTAACGGGTTACCGGGGCTCTGGCTCGAAGTGCAGGAGTAGAAACAGGGTGGTTTTTAATCAGTAAGAGTCTAACACTCCCTCTCGCATCACCCGGGCGGGAGAAGTCATTGCATGATTATCTCCCTACAAAAAAAAGGTTTCATAGGGTAGTGGAACAGAAAAAGATAACAATAGGTAAAAATATCACAAATACGTTATCATAACTCGTGTACGAAGAAATACAGCAACAAATCTGAAAACTACCAAAAAGTCCGTTACAACGCTACAAATTCCACGCCAACACGTTCCCGATGACGTGGCGCCTCTCCATTGGTCCGTACAAATTGTAGTGAAAGCTGATTGGGTATGACGTCCTTATTGTTTCGCTGTCAGCTATTTCGCTAAAGAAGGCACGCAAAATGTCTTATCCCTTAGATTTCGGTATACGAAGGCATTTTATGTTGAAGTCGATTTTTCTTATTTGCTTAGGTCTAAGGAGGATGGTAATTGAATCAGTTGCGACGGCAAAGGACATAAGTCCTTTTGTTGCGAGTTTTTAATCCCTTGACTGCCTCATTGATCGAGTGGTCGCAAGTGCGACTGCCGGGCAAGGGGTCATGGGTTCGATTCCCGGATCGGGCAAAACATTGCTAGGTTTTTAAAAAAACATCTCAGTAGTAGCACGGCGTCTGGAAATGTGCCCGGTTTATGGCAATAGGCTCACCCCCTACTATATGGGACTCATCATATGAGAAGTGAAAAGTAGGTGTTACATTGTACAGTGGCTTTAAGTGCCGTAATGTGAAGCTATCCCCGAAGGATGCCTACCCTTAAATAAATATGATAGATAAAAGGCGTGATATTATGTTCTTAATCACTTTTTGTTTTTATATACCTACATACTTGTCTGAGAAGCCGAATGATGATAGGGACGTCGAGATAATTATTCTATTTGATATCACTTATACGCTTCTCGCGGGTGTCATCCGAAGCGACTAAGGAACTACACATTTGACTGAGGCCTACCAGACGACTTTGCAATCTCTGTTAAATATGAGAGCACTAACTCTCTAAAATTTGCATCTTAATTTTAACAATTATTTTAAGATCCACTTTGTGACGTACGTAATAATCACTTTTTTTTGGACTGAATACCTACTTGACGACATTTCTAGGACATTGAAATATAATTTCAAATACAATGTTTTGCATGGCGAAAGGTAAAATGTATAGGGTAAATTAATTACATTGCAACTTATGTATACCTACATTATAAGCAAATAAATAATTTCTGCAATATTTTATCCAGCTGCCTAGCAGGATAATAAAAATGACCTTATGTAAAAAAACCCTGCAATCCAGCAATGGACCATCTCGAACTATTGATGTTAACGTCTCTGCTTTCCTCTTTGCGGACAACTGCCTAGACTAATATTATCCGAGCGTACGGCACGTCGCGTTCCGCGCGCGCCTCGAAGAGCCATCAGACCACCACTGATGGGGCCCAACAAGGCTGATGCCGATTCGGAGTCGCGGAGAACCTAACGGGTTACCGGGGCTCCGGTTTGACGTGCACGAGAAGGAACGGGGTGGTTTTTAGTTAATAAGAGTCTGACACTCCCTCCCGCCTCACCCAGGTGGGAGAAGGCATTCGATGTTTTCCCCCCATAAAAAAATACTAATTATAGCAAAGAGAGTCGTCAATCCTCAAAAACCCGCATGGATCATAGCCCGTATACTCAGTACTCAGAAAGGTTTAAATGCTCTTAGTTTGAACGATAAAAGGCTAATAACGCGTAATAAAACCTCCTTTCTTGGGACTTAGAAAGTGGGCAGTAAAGGTACAGAATTGGCAACGCAGTAATTGTTTTACTTTTAGTAGTTTTTGCCCAAAACTTGACGAGGTCAGTTCGTGTAATTTAATTTATTTGGTTCCTTGTTTTGTGGGAGAATTTGTAGGTTCTTTATGTTTAGTTTGGACTGAGGAGGAATAATTTTCTATTTAGGTTTCAAGTCGTGGTGGCCCGGAGGTTAAGACGTCCGCTTCTCATGCATGAGGGTGCGGGTTTAGCTTTACCAACGGCAAGTACCAATGTGATTATCCGAGTTATATGTACTTTCTAAGATTATTATTTAAACACCATTGACAAACGGTGAGGAAAC